CCCAAACTGGTGGGAGTGTTTGCAATCCTGGGGCGAGCTGGTTGGTGGAAGTTCCTAGCCACAGCAGAAAGGGACAGTGGTCCCGTTGGATGCGACAGGTAATGGGCAGGATGGTGCTTCAGATAGCTTCAGGTGGTGGCTGAGAGAGGTTTGAAAATAAGCAAAGTCTCAGACAGCGCATGATTGTGTGTGTGTTAAACAGTGAGGAAAATTAGTTAACTCAGAAGAAATCTAAAGATGAGGAAGTTCCACAGTTAACTGATGGCTCCTGTATGTCTGGGCTGTGGCATCCACTTCTCTGGGTCACCTGCATGGCAGGTGGCAGCCCCAGGCTCAGGTCTTAAGAACATCGAAGGGCAGGAAGCTGTTTGTTCCTTACTGTTCTGTGAATTTTTCTAAAGCTTTATTAAGGTATGAGTTAAATATAAACTGCATACATTTAAAATGCTCTATTTGATTGGTTTTGACATACGTATACACCGTAAAACCACCACCATGGTCGAGATGGTGAATCTGTCCCCACGCTCCAGGCTTCCCTGTGGCCCTTTTGTATTCCGTCCTCTCCTGACCCTGCCACCTCTGCCTCAGGCCGCCACCGATCTGTTTTCTGTCCATCTGGCGTGGTGTGCATTTTCTATACTTTTATATCAGTGAAATCACATAGCATGTACTCTTTCATTTCTTTGGTTTGGTCTGGCTTCTTTCAATCAAGGTAATTGTTTTGAAATTCATCAGTGTTATGTGAATCAGTAGGTCATTTCTTTTTATTGTGAGAGCCCTTAGATTGTAGGGACACAGCCGAGGCTTATCCATTCATCTTTCCGTGAATATTTGGGTTTCAGTTTTGGGCTGTTACAAATAAGTCTTTGCATGGACATATGGCATTTGTGTCTTCTGGGTAAATACTTAATGGCCTTTGAGAGTCTGGAACAGAGAGTTAGGTATATGTTAATTTTTAAAGAAGCTGCCAAAATCTTTTCCAAAGTGGTTATGCCATTTTTCCGTTCCACCAGCCGTGTATGAGAGTTTCACTTGCACCATATTGTCACCAAGACTCGCTGTGGCCAGTCTTGTCTTTAGAAATCCTAACAGCTGTGTAGTAGTATCTCACGGGGGCTCTAGTTTGCATTTCCCGAATAACTAATGATGAGCATCTTTTTATACACCTGTTTACCATTCATAGATCATCTTTGCTGAAATATCTGTTTAAATCTTTTGCCAATTTTTAAAAGAACTGAATTGCTTATTGAGTTTGTAGAATTTCTTACATATATTCTGCTTATAAGTTCTTGTATCAGATAAATGATTTGTAAATATTTTCCCCCAATCTATTGTCATTTATTCTCTGAATAATCTTTCAAAGAGTGATTTTTTTTAAGTTTTGGTGAAGTCCAGTTGATAAATTTTTTTCTCTCATGGATCATACTTTCAGTCTAAGAAAGTGTGTCTAATAAATTTTTGCCAACCCAAGAACACAAAGACTTTCATCTGTGATTTCTTCTAAGAGTTTTACAGTTTAGGTTTTACACTTTTGTCATCTATTTTGAGTTCACTTTGGATATTGTGAGAAGTATGGATCAAGGTCCACTTTTTGTATGTGGATATCCATTTATTCCATTACCACTTGTTCAAAAAGACTGTGTTTTCTTCGTTGTGTTGTCTTTGTACTATGTCAGAAATCAGTATTCCATACATTTATATTTTATTTCTGGACCGTCTACTTTTTTCCATTGATCTGGTTACTTTCTTGGCATCCTAAAGTGTCTTCATTACTGTAGCTCTGTAATAAGTCATAGTCAGC